CACACACACACACACACACACCGTTCGTGTCTATGTTCTCTTTTCCGACTTCTCTAATTGTTCTACTGCCAAAGCATTCTTATTATACGGCAACTGCGACGTATCGTACTCTTATAAGTGAATCTTGCTTCTTAAAGTTTTTGTACTTCTATTCATTGAAAGAAAATACAATTGTCTTGGAAGATAAGTTTCGCACGCGATTGATCATTAAATAAAGTGAACGTTTCTTCAGTTTCATTCCAGCGGAATTCAAATTGTACCTGACCACGCACACCGTACTTCCGTTACTGGATTGTACCGTTTCAGTTCTCTCTGTAAAGGTGACAACACAGTGAAACTCTCTTTCTTTCCAATCGATCGAAACACTGTCTATCCTTTGAAAAATAAATGATATCCTTGTCCGCAACCTAACACGAGAATTTCGATTTCATAGGTTTAAGGGAAGAAGCTGTAAGCGAGACTTGTAAAAAGATTAGAAAGTTGTTTTATTCGATGAGAAAATAATATAGGAGAAATTAATAACGATAAGACAAATATTGTGAAACATATGTATATTTCATTTCTTGGATTGTTTTTATTAATATTTGTGCATTATATACTATATTTTCAGATGCTTCTGCATTAAACTTTCCATTATATACAGAAAAATATGTTATTTCATTCACAGTTCCGTTGGTTCGATTAGCTCGTATTTATTGGTAGTCCCTCCGAGACTTTTTAATTCTTCGACTAAATCTCGGACGTCTATTTTACGAGAAACTACCATTGTTCGTTGATTTTTCGGGCCATAACTATGCGACTTTAAGCCCATCTGTCTCGCGACTCTGAAACAATTAACGTGTTCATTTCGCAAATAAAATCCCATTGCTTCGATACGGTTATAGATACGGTTATAGATACGGTTATAGATACGGTTATAGATACGGTTATAGATACGGTTATAGATACGGTTATAGATACACTTACTGGTGAATTATCGCTCTCTCGTCGTTTGTAAAGTCAGCTGAAAATACAAGATCGTTTTTCATATCACCGGCAAGATATTTCCTCATAATATCTTTAGATTTATTTTTCAAGTCGTTCATTGTGCAGGAATTAGATTTTAAACCCAATCCTTCTCTGCTAATTTGTTGCTTAATTCTATAACGATAATACAACCATTTATTACAATATTTACAAATTCAATTGAATATTCACAAGTGAGAGACGTTATACTTACGTGACCGGTTCCACGATACCCTGTTGTGATTTCCCAAGACCACCACCGGTCCAGCCCATTAACTTCATTAACTTTTTTCCAATATTGTCATCAGAAATAGAATCGTCTTTGCTCGAGTCTTTCAACATTGTAGTGGTGGTCACACTTGCATTTGTACTTACATTATGCTTAATCTGAATAGCAGTAGCATGAAATTTCAATTAAAATGCAACAAATAACAAGACAGAGATTAACATTCTAACAAACCTTAATCGTATAGTAGTATTTTTGTAGTTTTTGTAAACCAGCAATCGATGCTTCTTTCTTTGCTAACTTCTGATTGGCACTAGTTGCCTCTGCCAATAATTTCGAATTAACAAGAATACTGCATTTGCTACGAGCCAGAAAAATAATTAGATTGTAGATTACAAAAATACAAGAAGATAATACCTACCTAGAATCTCCTGCCCTGTCAAATTTCCATTCTAAATTTCCACCTGATGCATTTATCGCCCAAGCAAGTGCATTTTGTGGTATATCATCTGGTCTGTCGATTAAAACAATATCACCGAATGGATGGTCCTGTACTTTTCTTCGTTTCACAGATACTTGGCCAGCATTTAAATCTGTAGACGATCGTGTAAGGTTTGTTTCTGTTTGTCCTTTATTAATAGACGTTGGTGCAGTTTTTCCTATATGATATAAATCTGATATAAAATATGGTATACGGAAGTTTAATTAAATAAACTTCGTGCGGCGCTATATAATAGATAGAAGAACTCACAGTTCTACAATGTACCTTTAACTTTTAAACTGGCTGCACTGGAAGCTTTGATAAATGTTCTCTTTAATTTATTTTTTTGCTTCTCCCTGTAATCACTAATAATGTCTCTACCTAGGTCAGCAATCAACTCCATCGTCTCCTCTGGATATCTAAAATATGCAAATTATTCAAATTAATGAAAATCGCTTGAAGATATGCAACACAAAGAAGCGCAAAAAAACAAATCCTTTTTCACCTGCAACCGAGCAGTTCAACATTTGTAAACACTTGAGCCAAACAAATAAGTTCATCTTCTGAAAATTTGTCTTTATGGGCTAATAGAAATTTACGTTTCAGTTCCCAGTGTTCATCGCACTCGTGCTCTGTTTTATGCGTTTCTACATCCCAATTTTGTTCAGAACACATTTCCAACAAAATATTACCTTTACCGCTTGGTTAATTAATAATTTGACTTGTCTGTACAAAATCAAATATGCATCACTCGTTGTCAATTAAAACATAACCTTTTACAGACAATTGAATTCTTAAAAAATGTTTATATTCCAAATTGATATACGCAAAGTTTATGTACCAAAGAAAACGCAAACTTATTAGAAACTCGTTTATACATAAATGAAAATTAAGTGTAATTGAAGTCTTTTATGTTGAGAACGATTCGAAGTGGAGAATAAAAATGCACCTATTTATTTGAATTTGATTTTGTAAATACCTAGACAGGTGTTACTCCTGTAATTTCGCGAAATTTGGAAAGTTCAGCGAGGCGTTCGGGATTGTATAGAATTTACGATATATTATTTTGTCTTCACTTTCATTGGCTGATATTTATCGCCATTCCATTGTTTCGAAGATTTGTCCAATCATATGTGATATCATAAAATGGTGGGAGTAGAAATAAATTGTGTTAACTTTAAAATGGACAAATATTGATAATTTAAAAGTAATTAATAAAAGGAATTTGAAGAAGCTTGATGGATTGTATAGAGCCAAATGTGCATGAATTTTTGTTTCATAGTTATATGACATATGTTCTAGTACTTCGGTGTAGAAATTTTCTAACCTATTCGGACACTGAGAACACTTGTTACTGTTTCTGTAACATTTTACTGTACAAATAATAATATTAATAGTTATCGTTACAATGGCTAGTATGACCACGAAAAGAATTTTGTCTAGATGTAAATGTAACTATCAGTTTCTTTCAGAAAATCGGTTAATTAATTCTAAATATTGAATGTTTTGTTCTTGTGTTTTGTTGCAGTCACAAATCGAAGTATTCTGCAGTCATTTGTCACACGTTTTCCATGCCGTAATTTATCAACAAATAGTCAAACTGAACCAAAAGTTACCAATGGTAAAGATATCTGTTTTTTTTTCTAATATAGGTTGATATTATCCTTAATGGTAACGCTTAATTCTTCAGCAGTTTCAGAAGTCAGTGACCTGATAAATCCATTGACAAGTCCAGATTTTTTTAAAGTTCACAATTTATTTACTGTGGAAGATTTGTTTAATGCGAAAGTACATTTTGGTCATAAGGAGGGATCTTTGGATGATCGCATGCGACCTTTCATATTTGGATCTAGACTGGGTCATATAATATTTGATTTAGATCAGACGGCTGAGCTTTTACGAGAAGCTTTAAATTTTGCAGCTCACATAGCATTTAACAAAGGAATTATTTTATTTGTTGCAAAAAATCCTCACATTTGTAATATAGTAGAGAATACTGCTAAAGAGTGCCAAGAGTTTGCACATACCAGATATTGGAAAAGTGGAACATTAACAAATTCTACACGTGAGTTTGGAGTGATTGTTCGATTGCCAGATTTATGCATATTCCTTCATACAATGGAATCGGTTGTTTACCAGCATGTCGGAATAAAACATGCAGCTAAAATGACTATTCCAACAATTGGGATTGTGGATTCAAACTGTAATCCAAATCTTATTACTTATCCTGTTCCTGGGAATGATGATACTCCCTGTGCTATAGAATTATATTGTAAATTATTTAAGAATGCCATAATGAGGGGAAAATTGGCTAGAAAAGTAATGGATTCGGTAGTAAATAAGTGATTTTCTGTATAATATTATAGATACAATAGAATTTTTAAATTAAAAAAGATTACACGTTATTTCTGTTAAGCTTTCTCTTTATTTTGATATTTTTAACAGAAACAACCAAGACACCGGTTACAGTTCAAAATATAAAATATATAAAAAATATCACGTTTAGCTTTCTTGTTTAATCGTTGTTTTATCGTCCCGTAAACGTTGAAAGAATTTTGGTCCCAATATTTTGAATATCCTGTAAAGTAAAATAACATTGTTTTATCAAAGACACAAAAAAAATTTAATATGTAATCAGTAAAACGATATACCATAGTGCCATATTTGGATAATAAACTTTCAGGTATATCAGTTGAATCACAAGTGGTTTAGAAATCCAAACTTCGAAAAGTTGATTTGCTATTGCAATTCCTATCAATGTTGCACAGCGTTCTGCGCTAACTTTGTTCTTTGAATTTTCATTTACTTTTTCATTATACTTCTATAAAGAAAAAAATAACGTTAAAGAACCAATATACATTTTATCCTAATGTTGAACATACTTCTCCAGATTTTTCTGTGTATGCTTCCATCAAGAAATTTGTTTGAATTGGTCCTGGACATACTATTGTAACTGGTATATTCTGACCAATCTTTTCTATCCAGAAACCATTGAAATATCCCTATATATGACAGAAAAGAATATGCATACATATAAATATATAAACGTAATTAATACTAATTTCAGTGACACTTTAACTAACATGTAAAGCATGTTTAGATGCACAATATGTAGCAGAATATGCTGTTGATGCGATTCCTGCAGTACTCGAAGTGATCACAAAATGACCTGCTCCTACTTCAAGAAAATATTTTGCCACCAATCTGCTTAAAGCAACTTGTGAAAACACATTCAAGTCAAACATTTCTTTGTCAACAGTAAGATCAATTTCTTCCCATCGTGCTCGTTGAGAACGACCTGCATTGTTTACAAGTATATCTAACTAAAATAAAAATTTAGAATTAAGATGAAAACCAACTGTAAATTGTTGATAAAATTTAAAGTATATTTACTTTTCCAAATTTACTGATAACATGTTGAAATGCCGTTTGATGATTGTCTATGTTACAAATATCCAAAACAAGTACTTCTATGTCTCCATCATTTAAATTTGAGTTTCCTTAACAGAATAATTATGGTATACATATAAAATTATCACAAAGACGCAGAACGACGAATAAACGGATTAATCATGAATAGTTACTTTGAAGGCAATTAGCTTTCACTTTTTCCAATTCCTCTTTTCTTCTTGCAGATAATATTAATTTACAACCAGCATTTGCCAAAACGTATGCAAGATGTTCTCCAATTCCACTTGATGCTCCTGTTATCCATACAGTCTTTCCTTTCAAAGAATCTGCATGAATAAAAAAAAACAAAATTTACAATGGGGTAGAAAATATGTTTTAAACATAAGGTTATGGACTGTGATGCTTACTTATTGGTTTCCCAAATTTTTCGTAGAAAGCAAGTTTTAGATCAGAGTCGAAAAACCAAGGACATGTCATGTAAATAAGGTAATAAATAAGGACTATGAAGCCAATTACTGCTAAAAGATCCATTTTTAAAATCACACCACGTACTTTAATTACAAGACGAACAAAAAGTTTACGTTAACGACACTTTTTCCACATACACAATAACATAATAACTGTAACGATTACACGTCGTTACTTTTATATGATGAAAATTAGGTTAACCCGAATTATTCGGTAGTGTGCCAGTTTATATAGGATTTGTAATCGTTGACTTATATCTCGGTCTTCGTACAGATAAAAAAGTTAATGGATAGATATCAAAATCTTTTTAACTTGCGTAATTCTATATACGAAACCTGCGCTTACAAAAGATAAATGAAATAAAAATATATTCGATAATTCTGAAAGTCACTGATAAACCGTAGGCTTGGGAATAAATTTGTATAATGAAACATGTGCAATGCTAATTAATTAAATTAAAACAAATTTACATCTACGGTAATATATTCCCTACGTCGTATATAAATAAGCGATCGTTAAGCATGGGAAATCACGCGATTGACAAGAGAACATTGTTACATAATTATTTTTAAAAACTAACGAATGAAACTAGACGGAAAATCAGGTATATTTTTTGTCGTCGATTTAAATGAAAATTAGTTTATACAAAATTACATTCTTCGATAACACATTTTCAACAGTACGTATACATATTTTCATTCCTATTTCAGATACGTGACGTTCTTCTTATTCGTTCGAAATACATGTGCTCCTGAAATATGAAAAACGACTTAAATTATTCCATAATGCAAATTAAAACTTCAAAAAAAATAGTTATAAAATATAGTAAAAAAAACAGTATAAAACTACCAGTATAAAAGAATAAAATTCGAGTATTTCCGATTTCAGTAAGTTAATGTTACCAAGTATTGGTAATTTTTCTTGGTTGTATTGTATTCAATCTATTCAACCGAATGTAATCTCAAAGAACATTCCCTAGCATTTTCAATCTATTCGGGTCAACATTGTAAAGCATCGTACACAACATTTTATATTCATCGTGTATAATTTTCTGTCGTCAAGCATGACAATGCTGTTTGTGACGTGCCGAAACACGTGTTCCCCCCAAACCAATCGATACACGTATATACATCGAAATCGATATATATATATATATATATCGAAGAACGACGAATCACGGGTCGAAAAGAAATAAACGCGCCGAGTATTTACCAGTAGAAAAACAGCAGCGAGGAGTAAACTTTTCAGTTTTATATTCAGGTCCGCTGGAAAAGTGGCTAAGAAAGTATAATCACGCGTGATATCGTCCCATTGGTGCATCAGGGTTGCGATCTGATGAGTGCCATCGATTGTAATAACCTGCGACAGGAGCATGTGTAAATGTCAAGCGATCTGGTTGAAGATTATCGGTTGAAGATTATCGATTGAAAATTATCATGGGAAATAAAAGCGGACCACCATGCAACAACTAACGTAGTACCCACGGAACATATCCGCATAAATTCGAATTTTCCGGTGACCGTTACTCGTGCACGTAAAAGTCATTAAAAATTCTCTTTTCTTTTAGTCCTCATTTGGATTTCGAGGCACGCACGTCTACACGTACACACTAATGTATAATGTATTACTTGAAATTGCGCCTCCTGGTACATGCAGCAGCCGCACACGTTCGGGCCAACAATGTTGCACAGCTTTTTCCGTGTCTCGTCGTACACCGTAAACTTGGCTCCTATCACGCCGAAATTTTCTTCCACCGTTCCGATAAGGTTCTCGTTTCCCACTGTAATTTTCTGCGGGGTCAAACTTCCGGTTGATAACCTTTCACACGGAAAAAGATGATGTTCGAGGTCGCAGCGGGACTCACGTGCAATCTGTTGAAACTGTAGGTCCATCTCGTATTCATTTTCATGACGAACCCGGACATGCCGCGTCGGTCCAAGACGTTCAACGTGAAATCCTCATGGATTAATGTCGAGCAACTGAATGGATTCGATTGGCTCTCGGACCTCGACTCCGTGGCCAGGAACAATGTTTCCGCTTTCGGGATTCTTATCCTGTACTGAAAACGCCTGTCCGATCTGCCCAGCACTGTTGCAGAACATTCAAACGATTACGTTCCCTAAAGGAAATCATCGAGCATCGAGAGTGCTTCGGTTTCTATTCTTTTTATTTTTCTTATTATTCCTACTACTTTCATTCTTTTCATTGTCCTCGTTATTTCTATTTATTACTTCTGGATGCACGGAATAGCTATCGTTTCTTTACAGAACGCGATACCTGAAACCACCGGGGGTAAAATGACGATGCGGAGACCACGAAGCTCGATGCTGCAGCGGCTAAGAATTATCGGTGTCTACAAACCGCCGTAACTTTCCGCAGAAAAATCGCGCAGTACGATTTTTGAGGTCGTTTGGAAGATAAAATTTCAATCTGTAAGACTGCCTTGGATACGATCAAGGAAGAGAATGTCTAGAATTGTTAGACGCGTTCGAATCCACACGATTATTTTGAAGGAAAGCATCGTTACTGTTTCGTTCGGCGCGTGACCTACAGTATACCTCGAAAAGAGAACACCCGACGATATCAAAACAGAGTTTCCACGCTTCAAGGTGAACCCAGATAGACGAATTGCAGAGTGCATAAATACTTTTGGCTGAGGTTGTTTCTCACCGCGGCTATCTCTGTTATCTCTCCGATTATAGAATACAATGATTCGACATTATCTGCTCGATGGTTTCAGATGAAGCTGACTCGCCCCGTAATTCGTGTTTCGCAGTTATTGAAATCGTTCGCATGAAGACCAGCTGTCTAATGATTACCGTAGCGGGTACATTCGAGGTATACGAACGTGTGCTCAAGTCTACGATCTGCTGGATCTCCAGCTGGTCCACGTTGCCCAGAGAATACGTCCCCGACAGCGTGCTCAGCTGAGACATCGGAGTCGGCACCCAGTCCAGGCTGTTCTGGGGGGTGGGCCTCGTCGGTTGTCGGACTTCGCCTGTTGAAAAAACTCGGCTGGAGGCGCGGTCAACGGAAGCCGTAGCGGACCTTTGCTTGGAAGTAATGCTTTTAGACCGTACGCGTAGTTGACGCTTAACGACCGGTTCGGATCGGAACTTCCGGAACCGTCGGAACTCGGTTAATCGGATTTCCTCCTCTTTTCCCGAGCAGCTAGATCTATAAATACCTACGTATCGTACCGTGTGGCTGCGACGTGATCACTCTCGGACCCGCGTGGACGGGCGGTGCGTACGACGTTTCGTTCTCCCGCATCTCTATCGTTTGGCTCGCAGTGTCCTCTGCGAAATCGAAAGGAGGAATGCCGTTACCTTCGTAACGTTCGTAGCTCGTCGTTTCCGTGATACTGGACAATTCCAATTTTACATTTTACAATTACAGTATTCGCGATATTACACGACATTACAATGACATTATATTATTCTGTAATTCGCTTTCAGGCGGTAATAGCGGCAAACAATGGGATCGCTGGTTACCGGATGTCGCGGAATTAAGGCCACTGACTTCCATTTCCCCCTGAACCATAATGGGTTGCCTGGACGCCAGTCCCGATTATCCTCACCATGAAATCTTCCTCGGCCGTTCGGTTTCGCATACGCCGCATACGCCGCATACGCCGCATACGACACAGCTTTTCACGCGGCGGACCTTACGGAATTAATTAATTTTAATGAACCCGTCGACAGCCGAGGCAGAGAACGGATCGATCAGTCGCGAACCGTGAATATCGTTATCGCTGTTCTGCGAGTTTGGGAGTTAGAGGATGATCCTTGGGGCTCGACGCTTCTTCTTGTTCACCGGCAGTGAACCGAGGAACAGGACGATTCTCGGAAACAATCGCCCGTCGGCCTGTTTTTCGAACACTGTTCGTCGCGGATCGACGATCCTCTCGGTTTCCCGTTATCGGCCCGATAATATCGAGCCGGCCTATCGCGATACGCCGGATAAGTCGCAACGGATATTCCGAACGCGTTCCATCAATTCGACGCCCAAGCGGCCGTGGAACCCGCGAGCGACTCGACGCTGCCGCGTCCAGTTTATCGATAAAGGCAACCTTCGGCCCGACGACGCGCGGATCAATGTGGAACGATAAGTTCTCGTGCCCTGGACGCGGCTCGAAAGTCGATGGAACAACGGGAAACCGAGGGGAATTTCCCTTGTTCGGCATGCACGGGGAACAACGAGCTTTGCTTTCGCGCTCGATGAGGGACCGACCGATGGAATCGGGCAACGACGAGTATACGCGTCGGGCGAAGGGCAAACGCGATGTCCATTCGAATATTTAAAGCGAAATGAAAAGGAAACTCGTCGAAGCAGCGCTTTGGGTTTCAAAATGGCGGGTGTACTCGTCGTGCACGGGTCACCTGGTTCAATTACGAATTACGTGAAATGTATTTGAATATTTGTCCGGGTGCAGGCATAAAGGATGAATCTCGAGAGACGTTCTCCCAGTTTTTCGGAGGAATTCGAGACAAGTAGGTGTTGCTCGGCGGTTTCGCTGTCGCGTTGTATCGGGGTTTACCCTTGCGTGCGAGAAGACGGGGCAGGGGGGAGCGGCGCTGCTAAGGAGAATTGCTAGGAAGAGGCTAGGGGAGGAGTGGTGGGAGATGGAACGCGGCCGCAGGAAGTTGAACCAATTCTATTGAATCGATAATCAAGACTCATTGTCGACTCGAGTGCTCCGCTCGGTTGTACACATTTTCACGAACATTCGCCGGCGGAACGAGGGAAACAGCGACGCTGGTCGTAGACCGACCGCGGCCGTTCCACTACGGTGGACGAAAGCGATGTTGACGCGCGTTGACTGCCACGGCGGTCATCGATGACCGCCGCTCGCGGATCGCTCGATAACTATTCAAATATGTCGGATAACCGATATCGAGCGAAAACGTTTGACAACGCGAATAGCTGGACAATGGTATAACGCACGGACTTTTGTATATGCGATAACTAATTAGCAGTCGACAATCGACAATTGACAATTAACAATTAACAATAAACAATAAACAATAAACAATAACAATAACAATACAATTAATTCGTTCTACTTTCACCGCAAAAGATCAAGTGGCAATCAACGCGTCTCAATGAATTTCCGACTCTAATCGTTAACGTTCCGCCAACCCTTAACTATTGTTTTCAAATTACGCTTCGGCCAGAAGCGCAGCGTACTCCGGTTTCAGCCGCAGGATAAAGGATACGATCGACGTAGCGTTCTACTGGGATTACCAAATAATGGTAAAACTCGATACCCGACAAACCGACGAGTTCCGCGGGCCTACCGTCAAAGGAAGTCCGTCTCAAGGACACATTTCTCGCGGAGAGGAAACGTCGCAGCTCGAGGATGCTAAACGACCCTTTTCCCGCGTGCGACGCAACGGTGCGGTATTAAATGAACCCTTCCGTCGTGATCGTCGTCATCCAATAATCGGCCGATTCGCCGCGGAATTCGAGTCGCGCGTCCATAATTTTCCGGTCGGTGTTTTCGCAGGCACACCCCACGCCTTTACTTGTTGCTGCTGGCTCGGCAGGTCCATGCGCGTTTCTATCGATCCGCTCCTCCGCTATATAAAAGCCTGCGGCGTAGGCAGTCATGGAAGACCGAGAAATCGTCCCGTGAAGAGCCGCCGTCGACCGAGGGCCGTCGTCCGTAGAACGCAAAAAGAGGGGAACGAACAGAAAACCGAGCGAATTAAGCGAAACTAAACGAAACGAAACGGAACGGAACGGAACGGAACGGAACGGAACGAACGAACGATAGAACCGTGCCCGTGCGAATGTGTAATTAAAGCCAAGTAAGTTGAACCCTGTCGAGCTAGCGGCGTGACGTCATCGATCCCCGCGAATCGTATCCTGTTCGTTGGTCCTGTTCTCGTTGAATCGTCGATGTTCCGCGGTGCGCCGGGAGGACCGATCGCGGCGTGGAAACGTGCGAACGAGACCGTCGACGAACTTCGGCGCGGCCGTGCGTCGGTCGACCATCTGTTAGCCGACAGGTGACCGTGGCGAGTTGCAAAGGTGAACGATCGGGCTCCGACAGCCTTCGACGAAGACTCCTCGAGGCGCCGAGGCAGCCGATGATCGATCAACGACCGGTGGATCGTGTCGATCCCCCGTTGGGATTGTTGCAGTTCGGTTGTCGCGCGATCGAGCGACAACAATGATCCTTGCTCGCGGATTGAAGCGAGTGTCGTCGGTACCGGTTGACGCTAGAACTACCAGATGTCTCGAAATCACGCGCGATTTCTTAGCTTACGGTCGCTGAACAGGTACAGGTGCTTCTCTCGGAGACCGTTGACGGTAGTTTCGAGTATACTGAACTTCGGATACGTCGTTTGCTAAATGTTTATGATTTTCATTCACCGATGCAATTATATGTACGAATATGCGTCCTAATTCTATTACTATTCCAAGTACGTGTCCTAATTTTCTGTCTTTAAACCTTGGATTTCCAAGATTGTAAACGAACATCTATTTTTCCGAGCACAACGCAATCACCTGTACAGCGAACGTAGACCTAGTCTTAAGCAAGTCGATTTAGCGATATAGAAACTGAAATGTAAGTCAATTGGAATGTTAACGAGTTCGCGATTATAGTTTCTGTAGAGAAATTTGGAAAAGTCAGTCGAAGCGCTCGGTAGTTCCAGCGTTGATTTCGTCGCCGCGGAAGCTGATTCCGTGTGACGAGCGCGAACTTCTATCGATCTGCGAACGAACGCCGTAGAATGCGTTCTAACAGAATGCTTTCGACCGCTAAACTGCGCACTGCCCGACGCCGAGAGGCGAACCATTTATATCGGATTACGAGCGGCGACATGCCTGTCAAACGCTGAGCTTGTCAAAATTATATTCCGCAATTTTGCGATGCTTCGATAAAAGCAGCTCTTTTCGAATGGAAGCGTTTGCGTTCAGAGATATGTAGATTCGAGCCGCTCATTGACCAAGTCGGTTATCGCGTTTACATACACAACAATTTTAACCCTTTGCGGTCCGAAGTGCTCTTGGTTTCTCACTTCGAGGTTCGCGTCGACGTTAGTTCGTTCAATTACAGCCCAATACGACGCTCTATTTATTTATTCGATAATATTTGGAAGTCATTGAAATGTTACCCTTAAATGGTACAACTGTGATACCACAAATAAATAGAAAAAAATTGTTAAAACAGGTAGAGGTTGCAATAGAATAGAATGTCGAGTCTAATAGTTATTGTTCCGTTACAACGACAAATGGTACTAGAAAGAATCGTTACCGACTTGGTACCGATGTTACGCTGTTATCTAGTTAATTATGTCATCAACGCGTGAACCGCGCGAAACAGAAAGAGAAAAACGATCGAACAGCACTCGAATCTCGGGAAGCTAACGTGCTCGCGTTTCCGTCTTGAAATGAAAACGATTGATTAGAATTGATCTCGATCGGCGCGAGCGGGTCGCGGCCGCGAGAGAATCCTTGTCGCGTCACTTGCCTCGCGATTTCATTGCTATGTCTTCAATCGAGCGAGGGACTTCGGTGCTTTTTAACCGACTCCAGTCAGACCACCGGACCCGTCGACACGTTCGCTTCCACGAGAATCCCTGTCTTATTCGAGTGTGCCACACTTGCCCTTCGCGAAGATAGATAGATCGTTGAATCGCTTGGTACCGCTGCTCTTTTGATACACTAGCTATTTATATTGCAATTCTCTGTTATTTAGCTACTGTGTTAGTCGACGCGTCAACCCTTGCACTCGAGGAACTGTTCTCAGCGAGAACGATAAAGTTTCATATTTCATATTTAACCCTTTGCACTGTTGTCGCCACTGCGGCGACATTGTAAGTTTATAACTTCATTTCTAGTCAAACAACTTTAAAATGTATACGAGCTTCTTGAATGACAAAGCAGGATCTTAGATCTTTTACAGAGGCGCACGTAGCTGATAGTTGACATTAAAACTGATTCGGAGTTGCTGAAAGGTTATATTAAAAATAGCTCGGAGTGCAAAGGGTTAATATTAACTTGAACATCGTCCATGTCTGCTCGGGAACCGTTGAATATTTCCAGTAAACTAGCTGTCGAGTGCAAAGGCTCGACACGATGCGTAACAGGTGTGCATTTCGATGTGATTAATTCGATTCGTGATACTCGACAGTGAAAATGCTGCGGCAAGAATGGCTTCTGATACTGCTGATCGCGGGAGCGGCGACGGCGATGATCCTCGTGTCCCGTGAGAAGAAGGAAGAGTCGCTGACTGGCGCTCTGGACGCGATCACCAGGAAGCAGAGGTCCTTGGACGCCGCGTCCCAGGATTACTACAACGATCTACGACCGTACAAATACCACGACGGCGACACCGACCGGAAATTCGACAGGGAGCAGCATCTCGAAAGGGAAATCGACCCGGAGGACGAGCAAATCGAATTTCTGCCAAACGGTAGGTACCGTGCGCACGTCGCTCGACGGATAGGCTAACGAATCTAGCTCCCGATCGTTCGGTTCTCGGCTGGTTTACCTCCTCAAACTTTATTCTTCGTGTTATTACAATCATTTTTGGCTTTCGGGCGAGAGCCGTGTCCAATAGGAATATTTTCCCAACGTTTCGCCAGCATTGCAGCTGGCTTGAAAGGCTTTCTTTAAATATTTATTCTTCGTATTCGTTGTTACACGCGCTCGCGAATCTATCGAGCTACGTTTCACTTTTCGCCGAACGATCTAAAAGCGTCTCCGTCAGCTTGAACCGTCCTGCTCCTTGCAGAAGCTGGACAGCTGGAAACGGTGGGGAACGGCTACCAAGACCTGAACAACAAGCTGCGCGAGAGAGCAATAATCGATTACTTGGAGAGCGTCCTGCAGCGGGTACGTCTGTCCTTTATCGCGTGTTTATCGCGTGTTTATCGCGTGTTTAAGCTGTGCGACAAAGGTGTTACATCGAACCTTTCCGTTTCAGGAGGAACCGGTCACTTCCCCGTTCAGAGAACGCGAAAGAGGCGTCGGCCGCAAGAGAGGCAACGGTCCCGACCTTGACATCGACATTGGCAATAAAAAGCTGGCGAAGCTGCTTCTCGAAGGAGGCGGCGGGTTCCCGTACGATCTAGGGGACGCGGACGAGCAGGGCTACATGGACGGCCGACAACCGCTTTACGACCGATACAGGGCCAATAGCGAGAACGAGAAGGATTTCGCGTTAGTAGACGAAAGGTTTCCTCGTTGGGACCCATCTGAACGGTCGCTTCGAATTATCAGCCAAGCTAATTTAACCCTTTTAGCGACGAATTTACCAAGGTTTGGGGAAATATCGAGCTGCCTGTACTCGTGCCACGCGAAAGTAACGCGGTTTGAGAATCGCCATAGGCAACCCGCGCGCAAACATGAGAAACCAGGGGCGAATTGCCCACCGTCTGCGCGAGTTGTCGATTCATTGTTCTGATCGTTATTTAGAGTATGCGAGAATCGAGTGTTGGATATGCGATGGACGGATGATTTTTCGAATCGACACTCTTGGCTGGTAATGTTTAGCGTATCGTTATTCGCGACGCGTCCAGTCTGTAACGAGCAGGACTTTGAAAAGTGCTGACTGTTGGCAGGAACGCGGGTCCGATGTCCTGGGGCGAATTGCTGAACAAGGAGTCGCTGGCGCGCGGACAGAACGTGGAGATGAACGAGAACGAGCTGGCCGATCGGGACCAGGCTCCTAATCTGCTGTACCTTTCTTTTTTGGCGGAGCGGAAGGCCATGAACGGAGGGAACCCGAATGGCCACGATTACAGGACCTACCGAAACATGGCTAAGCGTTATCCCGTCGCCAAGAGGAGTCCTCAGCCGTTGCCTTCGAAGAAACAGGTCACGGACCCCAAGGTAATTGAGAATTCATTGGCAGCGAGAACCGATAAGAAATCGGTTACCAGTCCATTTGAATAAGACCAATTCGACGGTACAGAATGCAACGTTATTAATATGGTACACCGTGCATTGAAGGTCGCCCAAGAC